GTGATTTACTCCCAATTATGTGGTCAATTTTAGAGTAGGTGTGATGTGGTGCTGAGAAGAATGTATATTCTGTGGATTTGTGGTGGAGAGTTCTATAAATGTCTATTAGTTTTGCTTGGTCTAGGTCTCAATTCAATTCCTGGATATCCTTGTTAATTATCTGTCTTATTGATCTCTCATATTGACAATGGGATGTTAAAGTCTCCCACTATTACTGTGTGGGAGTCTTAAGTCTCTCTGTAAGTCATTAAGAACTTGCTTTATGTATCAGGGTGCTCCTGTATTGGGTGGGTATATATTTAGGATTGTTAGCTCTTCTTGTTGTATTGATTTTTTTACCATTATGCAATGTCCTTCTTTTTCTCTTGTTGGTTTAAAGTCTATTTTATCTGAGATGAGAATTGCAACTTTTGCCTTTTTTTGCTCTCCATTTGCTTGGAAAATCTTCCTCCATCCCTTTATTTTGAGTCTTTGTGTATCATTGCATGTTAGATGGGTTTCCTGGATACAGCACACTGATTGGGTGTTGGCTTCTGATCCAATTTGCCAGTCTTTGTCTTTTGATTGGGACATTTAGCCCATTTACATTTAGGGTTAATATTGTTATGTGTGAATTTGATCCTGCCAGTTTGATACTAGCTGGTTGTTTTGCCCATTAGTTCATGCAGTTTCTTCATTGTGTTGATGCTCTTTACCATTTAGTAGTTTTTGGAGTGGCTGGTACTTGTTGTTCCTTTCTATGTTTAGTGCCTCTCTCAGGAGCTCTTATAAAGCAGGCCGGGTGGTGATGAAATAACTGAATACTTCCTTATTCGTAAAGGATTTTATTTTTCCTTCACTTACGGAGCTTAGTTTGGCTGGATATGAAATTCTTGGTTGTAAGTTCTTTTCTTTAAGAATGTTGAATGTTGGCCCCCATTCTCTTGTGGCTTGTAGGGTTTCTATTGGGCGATGTGCTGTGAGTCTGAGGGGTTTCCCTCTGTGGGTAACGCGACCTTTCTCTCTGGCTGCTCTTAGCATTTTCTTCTTCATTTTAACCCTCGTGAATCTAATGATTATGTGCCTTGGTGTTGCTCTTCCTAAGTAATGTCTTTGTGGTGCTCTCTGTATTTCCTTGAATATTGGCCTTCCTGCTAGGTTGAGGAAGTTTTGCTGGATTATATCCTGAAGATTGTTTTCCAGCTTGGATTTATTCTCGCTGTCACATTCAGGTACACCTATCAAACATAGATTAGGTCTTTCACGTAATCCCAAATTTCTTGGAGGCTTCGTTTGTTTGTTTTCACTCTTTTTGAGTTGATCTTCAACCTCTGA